GGTTCCCTTTTCTTATGGTTTCTTATAATGAAAAAACACAGGAGCAATATCCTCAAAATTTGCAGGTATCCCACGTTTTCTTGTTACATTAAAGTGCACAAATAAAGATTATTAAAGCTCATATAGGTAAAATAAAGTGTTAGACTCTAGAAATATCACAACACATAAAAGAATCTTCATCAGATCAGTATAGGGGCATACAATTTATTTGACCCAGAACAGATCATGAATAAATATGCAGAGTTTGGGACGGGACAGCTCTTACCAACACCTGCAATGCTGGATACCAGTAAACAGCCTCTACGGCCTGAGCCATCAAGGTCACATCCTGCTTCTGATTTCCCCGAGGAACGGTGGGAATGCAGTTCAGTGTCCCTGTCCAAGATTGCACCTTCCCTCCTATACTGTATGGTCTATGTCATGATGTGAAGGGCGCATTTTATAGAAGCAAGAGTTTTGCCTCCCGAACTGAAATTAGAAACTGCCCATGAAGCTTGTGATTTGAGCATAAATCGGAATTACTGAGTAGAGTTCAGTGGCCTCCAATCTGCCCTGTGCCACCACCATCCCTCCTGGCTCCCTGGCTCCTCTGCCCCACCATGTGCTCTTCCCACAGCAACATCACCCATCCCCACACCCTAGAGCTGGAGCCACCTGCTAAACCTCCACACACCCCTCACCTGCAGTCAACCCTGTCACCCTTCTGCTTTGCACTCCAACCTCCTTCCTGTCATCTTTTTAACAGCTGTCCCTACCTAAGTACTATTCCAGGGACTACGGTGCAAACCTCTTCACCTTCCATCGACCTGCAAAGCATACCATCCGAGCTCTACTTTGTCTTGCAGAACATCCCAGTCCAAATTCCAGTATCTCCGCCCATTCTCTGGATCCTCTAAGCCCCACCCCATCCAGTGCCCCAGCCTGAACTCCTACACAAACCCAATCCTCACGCACAGGCATTACCCCATCCCTATCACCCCTGACCCTTTCTCCTGGCTCCCTGGCTCCCTCACTGCCCTGCGCCTCTTTTGCCTCTCTCCTTGTGTTCACAGTCTCCTCCAGGGTCCTTCTCCTCTTCCAACATTCTCGATCTGCTTGGACCATGCTGTCTTCCGCCAAAATCCACCTGCCCCACAATATTCCCCTTCCTCCTCTCCAATCAAGATTTTAACCCGAGACCTTGTCTCCTGTGAATTTCACCAACCATAGACTATTAATATCTTCCCTGTGAGCCCATCCCCGTTATTCCTTCCATTCCCAGGAAACCCTGCACCTCTCTTTTCCCAGATCCCAATATGCCTCACTCCCTTCACTTCCTGGCACGCTTTGTGTCCTTGTACCCTCACTTGAGAATGCCTCCCTGCAACAGTGAGCACACTTTTGTCTTTTATCCCTCAGCCTTCTTTCCTCTCTTACACTCTCTTCTCCCCTTACCCCAGGACCTCTGCACCTTGTCCTTATATTTCTTTCGCTGCACCCTCTCTCTCACCTGCTCTGTCACACACCCATGCACTGCCACTCCCCTACATACCACAACATTCCTACCACACGTCCTGACCTAGGGTGGTAATGCTCAAAGAAATTTTTAAGAATCTATGTTGCAAATACTCTCCTTGTGGGTAGTTGCAGGCTTGGAAGGATTACAAATGATAAAAAAAGAGCCCCCATTTATGGCATCCAGAGGTCTGGAGATACAACTCTTCATATGAACATGTCATTAAGACACACACACACACACACACACGATGAATGTGTATGTTGATATTATGAAAGTGAATGTGAACTGTGAGTTTGAGTAAAGGTGCGGTGAACATTAAGGTCGATGAGGGTGAGTTTGTACATGTTCAGTGTGTGCCTGAATGTGTGAGTTTCAACTGTAATTGTGTGAGTACATGAGCAACCATGTATGTGTCTACTAGTATGTGAGTATATGTGAATGTGGGTGTGCATATACACGTGTTTCCATCTGCTTGTGTGTAAATGAGTTCATGTTTGTGTGCAGTCTGAGTTGCCCACCATGATGGCTCTGACTTGAAAATGACTGCTCATTGCATAGTGAACCTGCATCACATGTGGACTTGTTTGTAGGGAAAACCAAAGGATCAGTTTTAACTCCTAATTTTTATTTCTTCTTACCAAAGCAGTAAGAGCTCATTACTGAAAATTCAAACACAACAACAAAACAGTAAAGAACTGTTGTAACCATGTGATCCTCTTGAATTAAGTACCTGAGGGTTGGCTCATCCAATATTTACAGGACTGGTAGAATCTTCTGGTTGAGCCATCTGATCCTGCTGCTTTAAATCTGACACACTCTTTTAGAAATGTCCTTCTTTCTTCTGTGGATAGTGTTCTGCCTGTATTTCTTATGAATAGAGGTCAACTGTGGTAAAGCATATGTTCCTAAATAATTTTCCTATTAATTGGCACTGAATTATTCAAACAAGGCCAAATTCATTAACTTTGATTTGTAAAATAATTTCTGTACCATGTTATTTACATCATGTTCCTCCTTTTACTTGTATCTCTGAATATTCTTAGCAGGTATTTTGTCTCATTCCGTTTCTCTACTAATAAACTTAATTGATGGTTTGGTTCAGTGGTCAGAAGATTAGCAAAATACTAGTTTCTGGGTAGAGAAACTTCTCTGGGAAGTGCAGAATCCAGTGAGACACACAGACTTAGCCACCAGTCCCTCACGTGTCAGAACTCAGTATTTCTTCATAGAATACCCTATCTACCTACAGGGATCAAGGGGGAAAAAAGAGCCTCACAGAAATACTCAAATAGTCTCCTATGGGGTTCTAACTAGAAACTCATAATTGTTTTTCATAATTAACAACTGAGGGGAAAATTTTCAGAAACATCTTCAGCTCCCAAATCCACACTCCCAGTGCGGCTACAAATGAAATAATTGCAGTTGTGAGGGCGGGGACCTCACAGAATCACAAACCTGTATCTCAGGGTCTGTCTGCTCCCCTCCCACAAACATACTGGCTGCCGTGCCCTTCACACTGAGCCCCTCCTGGCAGCAGGAAGGAGTTGGTGAGGATTTCTACTTCAGACTTCTCGGCGGTGTCCGTTTAAGAAAAGGGATATCAAGAATCTGGGTGAGTGATCATATCAGAAAAGGGCAATCTTCTGTGTACCACCTGATTCATTTTGAAAGCCGTGCAGGAAGGTGTAATAATTCTGAGGTCTGCACTCAGCTAGGAAAGAGAGATGGGATCCTAGATTTTCACCAATCCCTGATGGCTCCTAATGCAATAAAGGTCATCTTTGCTCATAGTGACTGTCGGTGTTTCCTGCAGGTAATAATAAACACTGATTTTTAAGCCCTTAAGGACTGAGTGGTAAAATCAATCTGCTGTACAGTCCACGTCATAGGAACTGTAGACTAAATGTTCAGGGTTACTAGAGGTCCACCTGTAACACCTCCATGCTTGTAGTGAAGACTATGAAGAGTATGCATGTGGTGAAGAGTATGTACAGGAAGCATCTGATCCTGTGCAGAAAGTTTATCATCCAAATGGTAATGACTTGAATGGAAAGGTGTCTCCAATTCTGGATGTATCACGAAATTATGGGGACATTAATTGAGTCTGCACTAGAAACCTCCACAATCTGTCAATGATAGTGAAACTTATTCATTTTGAAAGTTAGGAAAGGAGCACGTAAGGAACAGTTGACAAAATGCTGATGCACTCCAGATGGCAGCTGTCAGGTGCATATCATGTTCTTTCCACCCATTTAAAAATTATTCTACTACTGGGGCGCCTGGGTGGCTCAGTCAGTTAAGCGTCTATCTTTGGCTCAGGTCATGATCCCAGGGCCCTGGGATTGAGTCCCGCATTGGGCTCCCTGCTCGGTGGGAAGCCTGCTTCTCCCTCTGCCTCTGCCGCTCCCCCTGCTTGTGCTCTCTGTCAAACAAGCAAATAAAATCTTTAAAAAAATTATTCTACTATCAATACAAAAACCCAGTACTTGGATTTAAAGAGTGTGTAAGAATACATGCCTTACAGATGCCAATTTGCAGTGATGTATTTTATGTTAATATCATTCACAAATCTGAGCGCATTGTTAATAGGTTTACTTAACTGAGGTATTAATAAGTAGATAAGTGTATCATTTGAAATCAATACTAACTTAATTTCTGCCTTACACGATTACTATTTTATCATGTGTTAGTGTTTTATGGCCCAAAGTTTACAGAATTACATGTGATTATTCAACAACTCCTGTGATTGCTGCCATTACACTTCGTTCCTGACATAAAAGCAAATTAGTCTTTCTGTTGTCATCTTAGTATCAAGCCAGACTTGCATCCACTAAATATAACTTGTCAGGGGACAGGCTCCTGCAGTATTCTACTGCCAACAGTGCAGGTACATTTACTAAGATATTGAACACTTTACCCATATTTGATATTGTCCTGTTGAATAAATTGTTACAAGTGAATGGAAAGTTGTTGTAATGAAAATTATAGAATACCACCACTTTACAATCAAACCACAAGGTGGCAAATCAAAACTGACTGCAGGTCTGGATTTTGATGAACACAGCTACCTAGAGCTTTCTAGCAGACCATGGTGGCTCAGTGCACTATCACGGTTTCCAGCCCAACCGGTTCCCAGTCCCCACACAGCCTGAAGGAGCAGATGTGGACAAATACTTAACCTCTGTGTGTCTGTTCTCTTCATCTTTTAGTTACATCCACAATAGTGCCAGCCTCATAGATTTGTGAAGCGTGAAGATGTTCTCATGTGAGCACCTTCCCAGGAGAGATTTTACATTATAAAGGCTCTTTAAAAGTTCTACATTCAGCCCTCAGAAAGCTGTTATGAAAAAATAAACGTTAAGTAGGTGTTTCCAAGGGGGAACGAATGGAAAGGGGAATATACTGGATTTCAGCTGACGTGATACATGTGGCCCATGCCTCATGTTCCCATGCAGGACATTCTAGCTCAGAGGGCAACTAACAGTGACTGGGAAGAGAGAAAATGGTCAACAGGGAACTGGCGGTAGGACTGATCTTCTTAACACAGACTACGGTTGGCATCCTGGGCAATTTCTCACTTCTTTGTCATTATGTCCTCCTCTCCTTCACTGACTACAGGTTGAAGTCCACAGATTTCATTCACAAGCACCTGACTGTGGCCAACTTCTTATCCCTGCTCTGTAGAGGAGTCCCCCAGACCATGGCAGCATTTGGGTGGAAACATATCCTTAGTCACTTTGGATGCAAACTTCTTTTCTTTCTTCACGGGGTGGGGAGGGGAGTATCCATTGGTAGCATCTGCATCTTGAGTGTCTACCAGGCCATCACAATCAGCCCCAGAAACTCCTGGTGGGCAGAGCTTAAAGTAAAAGCTCCCAAGTACGTTGTTCCCTCCATCTTCCTGTGTTGGACGCTGCAAATGGTGGTCAATGTCATTTTTCCTCTCTATTTAACTAGCACATTGAGTGAGAAAAACATCACAAACAAAAAGGATTTCAGATACTGTTCTTTGGTTCGTCATGACAAAACCAGCGCCTCATTGTATGCAGCACTGTTGTCATTCTCTGATGTGCTATGTTTGGGGCTCATGCTCTGGGCAAGCAGCACCATGGTTTTCATCCTGTACAGGCACAAGAAGCGGGTCCAACATATACAAAGAACCATTTCTTCCAGGTCCTCCCCTGAGTCCAGAGCCACCAAAACCATCCTTCTTCTGCTGAGCACCTTTGTCTATTTTTACACCCTCTCCTCTGTCTTTCAAGTTGTTTTGTCTCTTTCTGATAATCCCAGCGGGGTCCTCCTGAATATCACTGCAATCATGGCGATGTGGTTCCCAACTGTCAGCCCCTATCTGCTCATGAGCCGTGACTCCAAGGTACCTAGGATCTGCTTTGCCTGGGCACGGAATATAAAATCCCCTCGTCTTATGAGAAATATGTAAATTGTATGTATTTCTACAACGTACAGTTGCCAATTCATTCATCCCCCTCAGGGTCCTAAATAAAATTATGAGTCCAAAACAACAGTAAACAGGACATGCTGAGCATCTTCTTCAAAATAAACAATAAATCATAACAATATTGTAATGAAACACCATTATCTTATAAATACTTATATAATCGAAGTTTTCCTAATACTGCCAGTAAAGGAGTTCAGAATTTATGCAATAATAAACACCAGGTCTTGACACAATCTGGATATTACAGAGAAGTCTTCAAGTGTGTGGCTTTCAATCTAATGCAATAAATTTCCAAGAAATGAACCTGGCATGAAATTTCAGGAAAAGGTACATGAACATGGGTTGGAACGTGGCCTTGTCCTTCCTCCAACTAAAGAAAATAATTTCCCCACTACATAAAGAATAGCCTGGGTGGGGCTGGAGGAAATATCCATTCTCGGGCAGTAGTGTTTCTGGGAGCCAGTTACAAGTTTTGCAGGTAAGTCATACCCTTAGAGAGATGGCACTGATTTGTTTGAAATATGAGGTGATGAAGGGAGATGAGCATGTTTACCATATTTTCATGTAGAAATGGCCAGATTAAAGAGGAGCAGGGCAAAGGAAAGCACAAAAACAAAAATATGTTTCTGCTGGTATTTAAAGATAATCAAGTGAGTGCTGACAATGTAAACAGACATGTGTTGAGATCTGGAGAAAGCAGAGTTTTCTCTGTTATGTTAAGGAGACTTGGGCATATTGGCAGGAAGGGGGTTTGGAGACCCGGGCTCGGGTCTCCTTCAGGCACACACAGTCCTTTGGGTCATTTACATGGAGCTTGAGCTGAGAATTAGAATCCCAAGCTCATCCTTTTCTTTCACCTTCATTTAGCCACATTAAGAGCAACCAGCCAGGGCTCCTGGGTGGCTCAGTTGGTTAAGCGACTGCCTTCAGCTCAGGTCATGATCCTGGAGTCCCGGGATCGAGTCCTGCATCGGGCTCCCTGCTCAGTGGGGAGTCTGCTTCTCCCTCTGACCCTCCTCCCTCTCATGCTATCATTCTCTCTCTCTCAATAAATAAATAAAAATCTTAAAAAAATAAATAAAATTGAGATATAAAAAAAAAAGAGCGATCAGCCAATGTTATCATGCTTATAAGTTATCTAAAATTGTGGGCAAGTATCAAATACATGCCATCCAGATACTTCTTTTATTTTTTTTTTAAAGATTTTACTTATTTATGTATTTATTTGAGAGAGAGAAGGTGCAAATGAGTGGGCGGGGGTATGGAGGAGTAGAGGGGTCGGGGGAGGAGGGGGTAAGAATCTGAAGCCAACGCCATGCAGAGCATGACCAGAGCCAAGAGTCGGACGCTTGACTGACCGAGCCACTCAGGCACCCTTGATACTTACTTCTTTTAAATGGCTGATAAGGAGTGTCAAGGACAGATAATCTGTGATGTGCTTTCTTTTACAATTTTTTTTTAAGATTTTACTCATTTAAGAGAGAGTGCAAGAGAGCACAAGCAGGCGGAGTGGCAGAGAGAGAGGGAGAAACGGGCTCTTCACTGAGCAGAGAGCCCGACGTGGGGCTCGGTCCTAGGACCCTGGGATCATGACCTGAGCCGAAGGCAAATGCCTAACTGACTGAGCCACCCAGGGGCCCTCTTTTACAATTTTTAATTTTTTTTTTTTTTTTTTTTTAGATTTTATTTATTCAAGAGAGAGGGAGAGAGCATGAGAGAGAAAGCAAGCGTGAATGGGCTGGGGGAGGAGCAGCGGGAGAAGCAGACTCCTCCCTGAGCAGGAAGCCTGACATGGGGCCCTACCCTAGGACCCTGGGATCATGACCTGAGCCAAAGGCAGATGCTTAACCAACTGAGCCACCCAGGCGCTCTTCTTTCGCATTTTTAAATCTAATCAGATTAGAAAGCCACTTCTAGAAACCCAAGAACCACCTCAGAAAACTCATCCTTAAGTCTTGTTTCTCTTGACCCACTCTTGGTCACAGTGGAATGATTAATTGTTTGATATTCCTAAAATGGAATTCTATATAGCAAAGCCAGTGGATGAGTCACAACAACATACAACCATAAATTCTCAAACAACTTAAATGAAAAAAGTCAAATACAAAAGAGTTAATGCTCTATTATTTTCTTTACCTTAAATACCAAATAGACAATAATAATGTGTGCTGGCAGAGGTCACCACTGTGTTTACCCTATGACGGGTGACAGACAGGGACAGCAATGGGAGCTTCCAGGGGTCTGATGATATTCTGTGCATTGATATCAGTGCTGTGTACAGATGTGTGATCAGTATGCATAGCTTCATTATCTGTGCACTGTATCTATATTTTTTAATTTAAAAAATACATATCACCAATAAAAACCATGGGATAGAGTACATTTATGTATAATGTCCTTACATTGTGAAGGGGGAGTTTACACCTACTGAAGAAAAAGACTCTTAGTTTTTCAAATCATACAGAAACTTCTGGGTTGAAAACTTCTAAAGAAAAGAGGTCAAATGTATACTTGTTTTTAAAAGTTTCTTCCAGGGGCGCCTGGGTGGCTCAGTTGGTTGGGCGACTGCCTTCAGCTCGGGTCGTGATCCCAGAGTCCTGGGATTGAGTCCCACATTGGGCTCCCGGCTCATCGGGAAACCTGCTTCTCCCTCTGACCCTCTCCCTGTCATGCTGTTTCTCTCTCTCTCTCTCTCAAATAAATAAAATCTTTTAAGAAAATAAATAAATAAATAAATAAAAGTTTCTTCCGGACATACAGGAATTGAAGTAGAAAGTAAGAATAAACTCAACAATAAGCACTACTAGGTATTTATCGAAAGGATACAAACATAATGACATACCCCAATTTTTATAGCAGCAATGTTCATAATAGCCAAAATATGCAAAGACCCCAGATGTCCATTGACAAATGAATGGATAAGGAAGATGTGGTGTGTATATATACAATGGAATATTACTCAGCCATCAAAAGGAATGAAATCTTGCCATTTGCAATGACATGGATGGAACTAGAGGGTATTAAGCTAAGTGAAATAAGTCAATCAGAGAAAGACAAATATCATATGATTTCACTCATATGTGGAATTTAAGAAAAACAGATGAACACAGAGGAAGGGAAGGGAAAATAAAGTAAGATGAAAACAGAGAGGGAGGCAAACCATAGAGACTCTTAACTATAGGAAACAAACTGAGGGTTGCTGGAGGGTAGGTGGGGGGGGATGGGGTAACTCGGTGAAGGGCATTAAGGAGGGCACTTGATGTAATGAGCACTGGGTGTTATATGTAACTGAGAAATCACTAAATCCTACCCTTAAATTGATTTAAAAAATTGTTAAGAAGGTAGAGCTCCTGTGTTCTTATCACTATAAAATAAAATAAAATAAAATAAATAAAAATAAAAATAAAACATGTGGTCCTGACACCTCTTGTCTGAAGCTCCTAATTATAAAGTTATCTCTTCCTTAAAGGCTGCTTCTCTAACTTCAAGAGAGAAAGTAGCCTGTCCATCATCATCAAGTCACAGATGTTTTTATTAGAGACACAATTACTGTTTTCATGAAGTGCATCCTATGCCCAGACTTAGAAGAAAAACATTTGTTGTATTCCAGAAACAACTGCAGATAGGTGGTTCCTGCACAGGATGAAATAATTCTTACAGTTTCATCATTCTCTGTATTATAAGCATGGTAGTTCTGTAAGCACACCTCTAATAACACTGAAAATTTAACATGATTCCTGTAAGGAAATGTGAACAGTATATTTATTTCATAACTACAATATTTAAGCACCTTAAAAGTCAGATTTCATTATTACTGGGATTATTTACCAATAAACTGTCTTCAGTGACAATCACACTACGTTACATTAGGAGCCATCAGGGATTGGCATAGGATTTAGGACCCTCGTCCTCTTTACTAGCTCAGCTCTTCACTAAGGAATTATTCCACCTCTCTGTCTGGCTTTGCCACTATATCTACTTCTCCTCCAGACATGAACACTTACTCAGACTTCCTTCCTTGCAGATTCTGCCTCTCAGAGTGAAATTAAAAATACTCACTGGAGGGGCACCTGGGTGGTTCAGTCAATTAAGCATCTGCCTTCAGCTCAGATCATGATCCTGGGCCTCTCTGCTGCTCAGTGGGGAGCCTGCTTCTCCCTCTCCCTCTGCCTGATGCTCTGCCCGCTTGTGCTCGATCTCTCTCTCTGTCAAATAAATAAATAAAACTTTAAAAAAATGAAAAATAAAATAAATAAAAATACTCACTGGAATCCTTCTGTCAGGACAGAAGGTTCGGTGTGAAGGTCTGGGCAGCCAGTGCATGTCTTGGGGGGGTGGCAGCTAGACTCAGAGAAAGGTTTGTGAATCTGTGATCTCACCTCCTCTCGGAACTGCAATCATCATTTCTCCTGTAGGTGTAATGACAGCGCAGGCTTGGGGACCTGGGAACATTTCTGAAAACCTTTTTCCCAGTTGCTAATGACTAAAAACAATTGCAAGTTTCTTCTGAGTATCTCCAAGAGATCACTGTAGTGCTTGGGAGAGGCTCTTATTTTTTCCTGAACCCTAAAGGCAGACAGGGTCACATACAGAAAAAGAAGGAAGGACAGACCACAGGAAAAAGCATGAAGTTGGATGCTTACCTAATACCATATACAAAAATTAACTCAAAATGGATCAAAGGCCTAAGTGTAAGACCTAAAACAATAAAATTCTTAGAAGAAAACATTGGTCAAAATCTTCATGACATTAGATTTGACAATGACTTCTTGGGTGTGACTCCAAAAGTGACAAAAAGAAATATAGAAAATATAGAAAAACTGGACTACATGAATATTTAACACTTTTGTGATCAAAAGTCACCATCAATGAAGTGAAAAGGCCCAACAAAATGGGAGACAATATTTGTAGTTCATGTATCTGTTAAGGGGTTGTATACAGAATATATGGAGAAATCCTAAGACTCAAAAGTAAAAAGAAAA